TCTCTCTCTCTCTCTCTCTCTCTCTCTCTCTCTCTCTACTTCTGTACCCCCCCTCTCACAAGAGACATTTTTCTCATCCACTCCCCCCCATCCCCAGCTGGCGAGGAGCGTTCTTCCTCATCAGCGGTCTGTCCCTCAACACGCTGGTCACAGGTCTTGTGATGACCTCACCGGTCTACGCCACCACGCCTTCCTCCAGCGCCCTCGTCGAAGCAGATGACGCAGAAAAGGCGCTTCTAAACGCCAGTGACGACCACGAGTTGAAAGAAAACGGCGTAAAATCCTCGAAATCTAAACGTGGTACAGCGCACACTGGTTCCGATACAAAACCAAATAGAGCTTCATCGCAAGATGAGAATTGTGGTCAAGGCGACTACGTCGATACAGACAGTAGAGGCCTGGTAGAGGGATTTGAACTCGCGTCTTCTACTGAGAAGGGCTGGGAGATGAATGAAGCCCGTCAAGAACCGAAAATATTAACAAAAGAGAGATCCTCAGTTGATGAGCGCCTTCCTGTAACACCTTTGATAAGACAGCGTGACCTTGATGACTTTCAGAACCTTGCGGATTTTCACGCCACACAAAGTCTGGAATCGTTAGACAACATAACATCAAGATGTGACGATTTGCTTGAGGAGGAGAAGTCTAGTCTAGTGGGTGCACAAACTGATGAACAAGAACACATGAATACAATGATGTCATACTACCCCGAAAAGAATAACCCTTTTGAAGGGGACACAGAGGAAATTGTTCAGCAAAGTCAAAAGCGTCGAGAAAATGATTCCGACCAGAAGTCAGGGTCACATGATTTGGATTTGGAACGAAGTGGAAAACCTACTGGGGACCTGCAAGATGATTCAGTTGAAAAGGGCTCTCATCTAAAACATATTGTATCAAATTCGCAAAATCACTACGACGAAGGAGCGAAGAAGTCGCCTGTCTCGGAAAATGTCGAGCCAGCCACACAGACCCTTCCCCTTCTTCATGATACAGAAGTGGCTTATGGAAATGAATTATATCAGAAAGAACCGCACCGTTCAGCATCACCAGACAACAAAACTCGAAGCGAAAGATTTTCGCCGTCTATACTAATCAGAAGACTAAGACTTTCTAAATGGAAATTTATGGTGGATCCATTGTTCGTACTCTTCGTCGCGAACGTGGGATTTGGGTTAGGTTCATTCTTCTCCTTCTTCATCATGCTCGTCGATTTTGCCAAGACGAAAGGTTTCGATGGAGATAAGGAAGGAATCTTCTTCATCTTCCTCGTCGTCACCACAAGCCTGTTCGCCCGAATAATTGCGGGGTTCGTGAACCTTCACCCAGCTTGCCACAGCGTGTTGATCATGGTGGGGTTTTCCGCTCTGACGAGCTTCACATTTCTAATTTTAGCCCATGTGACGCGATATTACGCGGTTGTGTGTGTGCTGGCTGTGACAGGTTTGGGTCTGGGAGGGGTGTTGGGGATTTTCCTGAAGGTTCCGCTAGATATCCCATCTGTGGGCACAGAGTCGTACGCTCTGGCGCTGGGCGTGATCAGCACTGTGGAGGGGATCTTTGATGTCAGCGTGCCCGTGATTCTTGGTGAGTTGTTGTTGTTGTTGTTGTTGCTGCTGTTATTGTTGTTGTTATTGTTGATGATGTTGTTGGTGGTGGTGATGTTGATGTGGTTGTTGTTGTGGTTGTTGGTTGTGATGTTGTGGTTGTGGTTGTGATGTTGTTGTTGTGGTTGTTGTTGGTGGTGATTGTTGTTGTAGTTGTTGTTGTTATAGTTGTCGGTGTTTGTGATTGTCGTTGTTGTGGATGTTGTTGATGTTAATGTTGATGTTTGTTATACAATTGGCATTGTGTTTGTTGTTGTTATTGATGATGATGATGATGATGATGATGACGATGATGATGATGATGATGATGATGATGATGATGATGATGATGATGATGATGACGATTTTGTGTCGAAGCCCTAGGGGGCGAAACATTAACTTTTACTTTTTTATTATTATATCAGAAAATTCTGTAAACCTAAGTATGTACCAATGTCAATTACAACTCACGCCATGCTAGTGGCCAGAGGGTACCCTTAACCCTCTTTCTCGTCTTTCCCTCTGTTGTTTCTGTCCCAAATGTCTGTCCTCCTCTCTCCTCGCACTCAATGACGGTTACTGTATTCATGCAAAAGAAATCTATAGAAAATAAAAAGAGGAGAGAAAAATAACAAAATACTCCACCCTCTCAATAAATAAAAAAATGAATAAATATATAAATGAATGAATGAATTAATCAATTAATGATTGAAAGAATAAATGAACGAATGAATGAATGAATGAATGAATGAATGAATGAATGAATGAATGAAAAATACCATGATAGAATTGTCACACAGGCTAGAGGCCTGAATCCTTAACTCATTATCTCCAAGTGCCATTGGGTAAAGGGAGATAACTCTTTAAATAAAGTCTGTAATTATTTTCTTCCACACAATTTAGGTCGTTTATGGGGTGGGCTTCCGACCCTACCTGTCATGCCCAAACCCGGGCTGAGAGGGATACATAAACATACACACCATCCCAACAGTGAGAAAGACCAAGATACTCTGTAGAAGTATCTGGCCCACTCGGGAATCGAACTTGGGTCTCCTGTGTGCGACAGCAATGCACCTAATCGCCATACCACAGCAGATGCTGATGCCGGCGTCCTTTATCTAGTTATGGAGAAATCATTTTGCTTGACGCTGGGCACTCGGTGCTGGTTAGTTAGTTTAGTATGGGACTTTACGGCGCTCGCAACCTCATAAGGTCGTATGAGCGCGCGAAACACAAGTTAGTTTTATTCGCAACAGTTCACTGTACGGCTGGGCTCAGGTCAGTAGTTAAATCTTAAAATATTAAAATATTTAAAATTCGGTGTAAATATTATATATTTTCAGTCTAAAACAACTTTCCTGAATAACATAACAAATTTTGAATAATTCAATTTGACTCTATAATTTCCCATAAAGGCCAATGGCTTACATAAACTCCAAAATTCTGTTGGGAACAACGATGGAAAAATTTTAATGTCTTGCACAGAGGACATAAAGTTAAAACCCCGTTATAAAGTCAGTCCTTCTCTACCGCAAACTTTATGCTCGTCTCAAAGCAGATGGTAGGTAGTATAAAGTATATATGTGGCGTCGGTGGCCTAGTGGTTAGGCTCTCGGACTCGCAACCGTAAGGTCGTGGGTTCGAATCCCGTCAAGGGCCCGACGTTGTGTCCTTGGGAAAGGCACTTTACACGAATTTTCCTCACTTCACCCAGGTGGGAATGGGTACCCGGCTATA